AATTGTTTGGGGAACTAGTCTTTCTCTCAGGACTTCTTTGAAACCTTTTATCCACTTCTTGATCTTTATGAGAAGTCTTTTAATATGTCTTTAAAACAAAGCTGGACCACTGCTAAGAACTGCTTCCTCTTTGCATAACCTCTGCAGAATTTCACTCACTGCAGAAGATCAACTAGATTTGAAAATGCACCTGGTGGCACCTTTCTGATACTTGGATGCATCAGAGGCAAACTGTCCATGGGGCAACTGGACTTTACATCATGAAGCACCTGACACACAAACACCTCACAGAGCTGAGTCCAAATGTATTTACTGCACCACCGTGCTGCCTGTGTGTCATAGAACCACAGAACAGTTTGGGTTGGAAGGCATCTTAAAAACCAACCAGTTCCAACACCCTGCATGGGCAGGGACACCTCCCACCAGCCCAGGTTGCTCCAAGCCCCATCCAACCTGCCCTTCAACACTGCCAGGGATGGGGCAGCCACAGCTTCCCTGGGCAACCTGGGCCAGGCTCTCACCACCCTCACGCTAAATGTTTGTCATCCCAGTTACAAAGAGCAACTACTTTAAAAACACTTGCTCAGAAAATTGTCTTGAAACTTGCATTTTGAAAATATAAAAGATTTTTAAAAGATTCTGCAGAGACTAACATTCGTGGAATTTGGCCAGGAACAGCCAATTCAATAAGGTATTAATTTGCCCAGGGTTAAAAAAAATAATCTGATCTAATATCATGTTTGTCAATAAATTACACCTATAATTTGTCAGCTGTGAGGCTTTGAGAGGTGCTGTGATAATCCAAAGGATACATTTAGCTTCACTTGCACTGAATTTGGATTTATTTTATTCTAAAATCCTGGAAGCTGCTTGATAAACATATTTGTTTTCATTTTTAATACAAGATCAAATAATTAGAACTGCCTAATTCAGTGACCTGCATCTGAGTGCCAGCTGAAGCAATTAGGCATTTGTGTGGCTTTATAATAGATTTTGTAGCCAAGGTTTAGCTTTAATTATAAGGCTGATTAGTGGGAGTACACAACTATCCTCTAAGCTCCATGATGGGAGTAAATAATCTAATTCACCTTTACTGTACCTTCCTAATGTATAAAATAACACTTTTGCATTTTTATCTCTACTCACACAGACAGATCATTATAAGTCATTAGGGTAGTCTGTGTCCAACTAGAATAATCTCTGTCTGTAAAGTCCTGTATATCACACAGGATAGAATATAACAAATGTTGCAGCAGCTGCCGTCAAATACTTATTTTCTAAACCTGACACCCCCTTTCCTCCCTCTCGAAGGCAAAATTCCCATGACTTAAACAAAAGCTGTCACCAGTGTATGTTCATAAAAGGATTTTGTTCATAAAAGGATTTCCATAACGCCTAATTGCATCACAAGCATAATTGTGAAGTATGCAGATCTACTGAAGAAACTAAAGTATCTTAGAAGGGCTTTTTAAAAGGAAAACCGACAGGCAACATACATATTTATACTATGATTGAAACACCTTGTGCACTGAAGTTGATGCACACACTAGGAGCTGATGTGTCTTACGTGTCATCGAGAGGGGTGGATTGTCTTGGAAGCTGGGAAGTCATCTTCTCACCAGGAGGCAACTGTGCAGAATCATGAGATACGGCGACCTTTAATGACGGATCACACTGGGGTGCGTACGAACACCTCACAGCACCAAGCGATAAACGCCTCAGCAGGCCCCGTTGCTTACAGCTTTCCTCTGAGGGCAGGTACAGGGCCGCCCCTGCGGGAAGAATCACAGGCCCTGGGGAGCTGGGGAGGGCTGCTGCAGAGCGGCACG